TGGCTATGTCCGGATTCCGTTCCATAAATTCTAGCAACGTCGCGCTTTGAGCTGCATTCTTGTGTTTACCCCTTTATTAAAAAATACCGATTAATGTATGAAAGGCTTAAAAAAAACTTTTTACTTACATTTCTTAGCTTTTTTTGCTTTATAAAAATAAAAACCTGTAAAAACGAACTAATTCCGCCAACTAATACCGCGTCGGTTTTATTCTAACGGAATTCTCCGATAAATCGAAATACAGAACACCAAATTCGTTGAATAATCGGATTCGAACATAGATTCCGATAAATCAAATTCGATAGGATTACAGAACACGACTATGCAATTACGATCGGATTCAATTCCGATTCCGATAGAAATCGGATTTCAGAACAGCCCTGTATAATTAAACATCCACTGAGAAATCGGCTGTCAGTATTTCAAACTTAAGAGCTGCAATGCAAGTTCTAAATATTTGGAAAAGGTGCAAACTACCGACTCTTGGATATCATATATGTAGCTTTGTAACGCTGGAGTGTGTTGCTGGTTGGGACTCCACGTGGGATACCAGCGGAACGCGTGAGTTGCTCGACGATCGTAGCTCATGTGGACGAGGAGAAAAAAAGAAAGGAGTGCTGCCCAAAGCAATATAAGTTGCGTTCCAGATGCTTCACGATATTCACGAAATTCACGATTTGCAGGAACAGCTGTTTTCCCCATTAATAAACCTTATGGGAGGTGGTCACCTGGAACGACTTCCTGTAAAAACCTGCAAATCGTGAAGCATCTGGAATGCAACTATTGTGCGCGCAACTGCACTATCAACTCTATTCAGCCGGCACTCTAGTGTTTTCGTACGATGGTATTTGTTGTTCTCCCGAATATATGTACAAATAAAACGCAGTACACATATACTTTATTGAACTTTGTAGTCTTTGCTTATGCTCGGCGTGTTGCCCAAAGTATTATTGTGCGCACACGCCTTATGCCTTCGCATTGCGAAGGTAACGCAGCGCGGCGTTGCGTCATTGCGTTGATACCGACGGTGGCGCTACTGGCCCTGATACACTAATTTGCAATCTTGTGGCGCACTGCCGCCAGCAACGCCAATAACGATGAGCTTACGCACACTGGACGCAAATGACATATAGAAGCAATCTAGCAATCGTTTGCGCATCTAAAAAAAGGTAAACAAAGATGATGGGGAAGAAGAATGAGTTGACAATT